ATTAGCATCAGATAAAAGCAGTTTTAAGAGCTGATTTTACAAACTGTATAAATTAAAACAAAGATAAAAAAATAACAATTTGCGTTTGTGACATTACTTATTCAATTTCATAAATATTACAAAATTGAATAACATTTTTTTTTTTAAGAATCTTTAAGAGTTTTTAAGAATCACAGTCCTCACTGATAGGAGTAAAAAAATGTATAATTAAAATAGGTTCTATATATAATAAATTTTTTTTATGTAAAATTAATTTTTATTTATAAACATTTAATATTGCGAGTTTTTAGTATTTAATATAATACAAGTTCATTAATTTAAAATTGTTTTAATCACCTATCTCGAATTTTTTAAATTTGCAGACTCATTTAAAATTCTTAATCTGTTTATCTCACATATATAATTGCATAATTATAACAATGAATAGAAAGTGTTTGTCATAGAATACGAGATTTGGAAGAAATATTCGAGGATATCGCTCTATTATTCCTACATATGAATTTTGCATTGAAACGACATACTGACATTCATTATGACAGAAGTGATTTATACTATATGTTTATACTATATTTGCCTCTATGAAAGCAACTTTTAACTCATTCTAAACAAATTCAATTTGCCGCCTCTTTCATGCATTGAATTTGTTGAGAAGCGGATTTGTAATGTTTGTTGCGTTGCCAATCGTCAATGACGTATAAATGAAAAGTTAACATAAATAGCTTAACTTACAAACGTTTCTAAAAGACTGTTTTTCCTGAATAGTTGTGAGCGCTACTACAATGATTTTTATAATTACTCTTCGTTTTTATTGTTTTTAACATAACCAATTATTGAGGAATCCTGAAAAGTTCTCGACCAGCATGACAAGTCCTGGAATGGAAAGCGGAAATTTTAATATAAACAATTGCTCTAATTTAGAAATTCAAACTTACCATTTTAACTAACCAGATAAGTTCTAGTTTATAAATACTGTGATGACTTACTTAGGTCATGTCTGGGGAACTAGTGGCCCACGAGGTACATAGTTTCTACTCTCCTCGATAGAGTCGTCAACGCGCGGTTAATCTTCATGCACGACATCTTGAGGGAAGATGTTCTTCCATCACGGTCTTCGGTGAGGGATTTTTTCTCTTTTTAAGTTGACCGATTCGTGGACCATGGGAACGCCCTTGGTCCTATTTAATTAGTCAATCCTTTAGCTAACTTTCGATTTTCATCAATCATTCATATATCTTTCGACTTTGACGTTCACGTCGGCCTCTAGTTGTTCTTACGTCTTTCACCTCTCACGTTGTCTGATTATCAAATGTTCGATTATTCTCAAAGGAGGATGTTAAGAAAAGACCATTTTTGACATCGACTGGAAATGAAAAATTCCTTTAGGACTTCAAGAGTATCTTCCATGGAACAAAAAATTCCTTTATCACACAACTATTTTACATGTCTTTAAAATATATAAAACTATGACATGTACTATAATAAATATATTTTATACACTATGATTTTTTTAAATGAGTATTTGCAAAAGCAATATTTATTTGTAACAAAGTAGCAGATAAAGTTTAAAATATTTAACCCTTTGCACTCGACGATTTTTTGGCTAAAGAAGCATAGGAGTTCAAAGATTTTCTATTACAAAGCTGACAATATTTTTCTGAGCAGGAATAAAAAGTCGTATGATAATTAACACGTAAAATTATTTGATTTCGCATATCTCGCACACCGATACATTATCTGAAATTTGACATATTTATGAA